ATATGCAGAACCATCATATACTTCTCATTGGGCAAAGTGTTTGCTTTATCTTATGTTTAAATTACTGTTTATCTATATGTTGCCGGGGCTATAACCCCCATAACTACCATCCGGGGACCAATACACATGGAACCTGCTTATTCCCAAATTCCCCACAGGGGCATCTCCTGCAGAAATAACCCATGGTTATATATGTCATGTCACTATATATATCTATACATGTTCCTAGCCTAGTAACCAATGGCACTCTAACTGCCTCCCTACCTAGCCTGTTTACCTAACACTAAATGACCCTGAGCCCTAGTGCAGATCATATGCTGTTATATGCAGTTTTGTCATAGCTAAACGTGTACCTCACCTGCTCAATTGAGCAAAACTGGAGAAAATACTTTAAAAGGGACATCAATATATATATTAAAACATGCAGTAGAACCTAATGCCTAGCTAAGATACTACCATGTTAGAATAATTGTTCACCCAAGCAGTGTTAGCATCATAAACCAGATTAGCAATGTTTTAATACTGAGTGGAACCCTTGTGTTGTACCTAGCTATTTGTGATGCCACATTACTACCTTGAAATGCTAAATTCAAGCTATCTCCTCCCTAGGCTATGCGGTGTTATAAGCTTACTATAATGTTCAAGCACACAACTGTCTAACTGCTTTACCTAGTTTTAACGACTAGTACATTCAGGTCACACTACGCATTTTGCTAACAAAAGTACTACCAGCTTTATTTTATTGTTTTATGCTATTGTTAAGCAGTTAAAACCTTACTTAGTTAAGCCTGACAGTTAGTCACCCGTAATGTGCAAACCACTAGTGCTACCATATGAATCACCTACATTATCTTGACTAATTCATGCTTCTTCTACAAAACTGTTCGGTTTAATTGTTTTTACTAATCTACCTAGCACGCAATGAAACCGTTTAGTCACGAAGACATTCTTCACCTAGCCAGCCAAGTGTTATGTTTCACTATCTCTATTACCCCAAATATAAAAATTTCGTGCTGTGGTCTCAAGATGCATAATATTATCTCTAACTGTTCTCAATGTCATACTACATGTATCTTTGTATGTTCTACAGATCCTCGCGTCTGCAGTTGTGGCAACGCAGGATGTATTGTATTTTCAAGCACGACCAAAAAAAAAAAAAGAGGTAAATTTAACCCCTTCCAACCCCTAGAGCCCGGCGGGAGGGGGGCCCTGAGGATGGGGGCACCCTCAGGGCACTATAGTGCCAGGAAAACGAGTATGTTTTCCTGGCACTATAGTGGTCCTTTAACCCCTTAAGAACCAAACTTCTGGAATAAAAGGGAATCATGACATGTCACACATGTCATGTGTCCTTAAGGGGTTAAGCAGAGATTTAAAAAGCAGTAAAGTGAACCAGTGTGCACTTTATTAGAGTCTAAAGGATCATCCAAGTGAGTCGAATATGAATGCAGATGTTGACTTATAGTATAACCCGCCTGTTTATGCTCGAGATCCTGAGAAATCAGCCCATTAGTCCCTGAGAATGTGGCTCATACATGGAGACTTTCAAAGCCAGTTCCAAGGGTGAACTGGAAACTTTTAGCCTGGAGGCAAGTACAAATGAATGGCCTTGTTTGCACACAAAACTCACAGATCTCTGTGTGAATTTTCCTACAAACACAGATTATGAAATACATAGTTATGACAGACTGAGATTGCTGCAAGTCTCACACAGACATAGGCTCTGCTTACTGCAACCTCCATTGCCACCGATGACAACTGGCGTTTGTTTTGAATGTCATGTCACTCTTCGGTCAATTGTAAACATCTCCAATCACATCATACATACTTATCACGGTGTGGCAGGTACTACAATCCACAAAGAAATCATCCAGTGGTACTGTCCACGCCTGGAGAGCATTGAGGTTCTGGGCCAACAGCCCAAACACACAGCCACGCAGTGCTGGGTTATAAAAGGCCGCGCACAAACCAAGCCTGCTGCCTCACTCCTGCAGTACTCAACACCAACAGACAGCACAACACACTTTGTGGTATTATAACCTGCAGAAGAAAGGTGTGAGGCTGCAGCCCACAACCTCTGTGTGACCGTGGTCCAAGTGGGCAATTGCCCTACTTTCCAGACCTTTCATGATAGGTTTATCCCCAATGCGTGTAGAACAAATCCACAATTTGTTTTGGAGATGTTACTGCCCAGCATATTCTGTGTTTTCTGATAAAAATGTGCTACTGTAAAGCCTCAAGGTTATGTTTCACATACCCCGAAATAGCATGAATATGTGCTGGTACAGAAAAATATTTCAAAGTAACAAAGTGAGTAGATTTGTCCTGCATTACAAATGCATCATCTTTCAAAGACGCCACCTTACAAATGCAGAGTTGTGTTCCCTGTGAAAAGATTACAATTATTTCTAGAATATCAATATATTCAGTTTATAAAGTATACAGAAATGAACAGTGACAAACAAATTATGGTAACAGAAACAAGGGGTGAGATGGGACCTCTTAGAATGAATTTTAAATATAGATGGAGGAAAGCACTTACATACTGTGCACACTTCTATCAAGAGCTGTGTTTGCTGTTTAGCATGTGTCGGAACCTTGCACATGTTCATGGTTAGTGTACAGAAATATAGTACAATGTGTACATTGGTTTATAGAAATAGACACTACCACTTGTGTAGAAAGTCACTGTAGAAAGATTTCCCCAATACATCCCTTATCTCAGCGGTGTCCAAAAGGTATATATCTCCAGATTTTTAGAACTACAGCTTCCACGATGCTTTGTCATTCCAAACGCATTTTTAAAGCACACAAAGCATCATGGGACTTTTAGTTCTACAATAATCTACCTTTCGGGCACCCCTGACTTATATCCTACCTTTCCAAAGTTCACCCATCATTCTTGACAGGTTGCACCCCACACAATAAAATTCCTTCCGTCGTGTCATGTACCTGGTGAAAATGGGGAGTGGGTACTTCCAAAACTATATAAAAGCCTATGTTAGATTTGCATGACTGGAAACATATGTTAATATATTAATGGTGGCTATTGGAAACAATTCGAGAAACCTTGGTTTAATGGTGACAGGATAAAAAAAAAATATGTGCCTTCAATTACATTGATCTCTGTATCACATCAATGATAATATTTTCCTTTAAAGACAACCAATAGTATTTGTTCTAATTATTTTAAACGTGTCACATGGCATAAGTAAAATATATTAAAGTTAGTCACTAAACCAAGCATTGTCAGTAACTGCAAAAATAATTTAAGATTAGATTAATTTAGCGATATTTCAGCCCTGTAGTTTGCTCATCAGATTATTACACTCGCGTAATGCACTGAATTGGGCTGTTATTTGGTATAATCTTTACAGAAACTCACAGCAATGACATACCAGTATGCCAAGTGTTCAATCACTGGTGAACTTCTGATTCCTATAGACTGTAAGCTCTTTTGAGCAGGGCCCTCTTCAACCTACCTAAAGCCCTACGGAATCTGTTGGCGCCATATAAATGGCGATAATAATAATAATTCCACCATTCCGGCCTGTGACCTTTTGTACACTAGGGAATGCCCAATCTTCAAACAATCCTTCTTTGTATATAAATACACTGCAACTTGATACTTAATGGAATATGCATATAAGTACATAAATATAAATTGCATTATAACTGATATACAATTAAACGTCTGTAACAGAACAGTAGCAGCACATTCGTTATTGGTTAAGATATATTATACAGCTCAAAACGTTCCTTGCCAGTATATAAAGCTACTCAGCATAATAATAACTTGCAACCTGTTTATCAGAGCACAGAAAAAAAAACTCAGAACAACTTCATAAAGTGTAGTGTTGTTATTTTCAGTGCATAGAGATAGTTCTATATTATCTCGATCAACATATTTTATGTCAGAGTACAGAGATACTCGGCATCCTCATATAATTCATCTTATTAC